CTTTCGCCTTGAGTCCATTCTGCGCCCTGTCTGTGGCCACCCTGAGTCCCTCTCTTATACACACAGAGGGTGGGAAGCTCCACACTGATTATTTCTGGCTGCACCCAGGAACAGTAGCCCATCATGCACTGTTTCCCAGTGGTTATCTATTCTGCTTCCCTCGCCATCCGGGATACTTCCACTTCCCTTTTTGGGCACTGAGGATGTCCACATGTTTCAGAAACAGTGTGCATAGCCTTTCTCAGCATCAGGAGCAGATGGGATTTGTATGTGGGTATAGCATCCAATTCCTGCGGAGTTCTGAAAAACACCGCTCAGGGCTCACCTCACAGGGCCTAGTCAGGTGTGGAAATAAACCAGGATGGCTCCCTCCAGGTCCCCGCGGCACCGACCCCACAACCACTGTAAGGAGTTGGGTTCTTGACGACATGCTGTATGAGAGGAAACTGAGACTCAAGAGATTGTTGAGGGTGAAAGTCACACACCTAATGCACAATGGAGGACTATTTAAATAAGAATCAGCCCAACCAGCTAGGCTCAGTGGTTGTGCGTCATTCTATGAACCAGGATGTTGAGGTTTGATACTTGGTCAGAGCACATGCCCGGGTTTCGGGCTCTGTCCTCCATGCGGGGTGTGCAGGAGGCAGTTGGTCCATTATTTTCTCTCATCATGGATATTTCTATCTCCCTTCCTCTCTGTAATCAATAAAAATATATATTGAAAATAAAAATAAATGAATGAGAATCCGTTTTGTTCCCCAAGTCAGAGCAATAACACACTTATTGTCACTGACTGTGAAGACAGGGGCCCGGGACAAAGAGGAGAGATCTTCCTGAGGAACAAGGAACTGAGGGGAGGAGGGACTCAGAGGCGAGTTCCCACCCTGATGGGGTGGATGCTGTTGCAAGAAAGGGGAGTGACCAGGGGCTGGGACAGGAAGAAAAACACACTCTGGGGCCAGAGGGGGAGACCTGTTTCCTTCCCTTATTTCCCTGCATTTCCCTCTGTGCTCATTGTCACAGGGACATCGCCCTGAGCTGCACAGGGAGAGGGTGAGTGTGTCCCTGCTGATCTGAGCTCTGCAGGTCACAGGGACCCATGTCTTCCTGAAGCGTCTCCAGGGCCGGGTGGCACTGTCCATGGTGAGGACCCCAGGGAGGTGCTGATGGACGGGCTGAGGAGGAAGGAGACCCCGTGGGGGAGGCTCTGTCAGGGAAGGACCTGCCCTGGGTCACCTCACCTGCAAGGGGCGTCTCAGGAGGCTCCGGGTCTATTTCCTGCTTCACCATGGAAATGAGAGCCAGGCTGCTACAGAGGCTGTGCCCTCCCCTATAGGCGGCTGACGTGACAACCCCATGACAGAGAGGAGGGCCTCCAAGTGACCACCACCCGTGTGTCTGTCTGTCCATCTGCCTGGCACCAGGGCCTCCTCCATCTGCTCAACTGAGGCCTCCGGGAGAAGACACCATGACCCCCACCCTCAGGGCCCTGCTCTGCCTCGGTGAGATGAGAGCCAGGAAGGGACCCGGGTCTGTCAGGACCCAGGACTCAGGAGGCTCATGGGGAGGAGGGTGCTGCTCAGGGTTCAGGGCAAATCTCTCACAGGGACTCTCTTCCAGGGCTGAGTGTGGGCCTCAGGACCCCAGTGCAGGCAGGTGAGTCTGAACCAGTTTATGATTCCTCCCAGAGAACCTCTCCGAACCCACCCTCTGGTCTCCGTGATCCCCTGGGGCCTGAGGGTTGGGAAGACATTTCAGGGTAACCACCAGCTCCAGGGTCTATGAGGAATGACCCCTCCCCAACCAAGGATTCAGGCCTGCCTAGGAGTAAGTGGGGAAGGTGAAAAGAGTGGAGGTCATGGCAGAGGGAGGTGTGGTGCCCAGGCTGGGGAGGAGCAGCTGGGCTCAAGTGGGGAGAAGGCTGAACCAACACTCACCCTCATCCTGATGCCCAGGAGGCTCTGAGGACCAATACCTCCCAACCACGGAGTCAGGCCCACAGAGGGGTAAGTGAGGGGATCTGTGGGAGGTGGGGGGTGCCTTCACGGGGACAGGGCTGAGCCATGCGGGACTTCAGGCCCCTCTGGATTCCACGACTTGAACTCAGCCTGCCACTGCCTGGGCTTCAGTGTCTCTAAGTGTAAAAGGAGAGAATCCTTATTCAGAGCTCAGATTTCCTGTTGGTTCTGGCCTGACCTCCTGGGAGAGGGGTCTCACAGGGAAGCCCCCAGGACCTGATGCTATGGGGCCTGTCCCCTCTGTCTCAGTGATGGTGACTCTGTACAGGGAGGGACAGGCAGGACAAGGGTCCGGGCCCCCAGTCCTACCCCTCAGATCAGGCTCAGCTCAGAGGAGGGAACAGGGTGAATCAGCTCCAGGCTCTGCTGCTCCTGCTGTGGGGCTGGGCGGTCCCTTCTCTCCTCTGAGTGTCGGGTTCCTGTCTGCTCATCCCTGGTCCCATCCTGCTCACAGGCTGCTGGGAGATGAGGTGACATAAGGGCCTCACAGAGCCCAGGAAGGCAGAGCCCCCAGCCCAGCCCGACCTTCCCAAGCGGGCGTCAGGGCCTGCAGGGTGGAGAAGGATCCCGGGGAAACTCAGAGTCCACCCCTCACCCTGCTCCTCCTGTCCCTGCTGCACTGGGGGTGGGAAACGAGGAAGCACCCTGAGCTCTAGATGAGATGTGGACAGGCCCCTGCAGAGGAGGAGCCCAAAGCATGGAGGCAATGTCCCCCTGGGGAGCAGCGTGAGGACAGCACAGGGGACCAACAGTCCTCGGTTCCTGTCCCAGCTCTGCCCCGCCCAGGCTGGGTGACCTGGGGCACATGGTTAACCTCTCTGAGCCTCAGCAAAGTAGATGGTGGGGTCAGCAATCCCTGGTGCATGACTGCTGTGAGGTGAGAGATGAGTGAAAGCCCCCAGCAGGAACCTCCTACATAGTAGGTGCTCATTAAATGGCATCACTGGCTGATTCATGACGGAATGAGAGGGATAAAGGTTCCCAGCAGATTTCATGTCTGATTCCTTTCCAGGAGACGTTCCCAAACCCTCCATCTGGGCTGACCCAGGCCCCATCGTCACCAATGGGGGCTCTGTGACCATCTGGTGTCTGGGGTCTCTGCAGGCTGGTGCCTACGTTCTGTATAAAGAGAGGGGCTCTGAGCCCTTGGATACCAGGATCCCACAGGACTCCAGCAACAAGGCCGGTTTCCTCATTGAAGCCACGACCCAATCCCATGCAGGGCTGTACCAGTGTGCATATTACAGCACTGGGGACATACTGTCAGAGCGGAGTGACCCCCTGCTCCTGGTGGTGACAGGTAAGGGAGACACTGGGTCCCCTCCTCACTGTGGGCTCCCGGTCACAGGCAGAGAGAATAAAGTGTGGCCTCAGGGGACCCCACCCCTCACAGAACACACCTGGGGCATGAGGGTGATGGTCCCTTTAACACAGACCCTTTCTCCTCCCTCAGGAGTGGGCGATGCACCCTCCCTCTCAGCCCAGCCAAGCCCTGTGGTGGCCTCAGGAGGGAACGTGTCCCTCTCCTGTAGCTCACAGTTCACATCTGGCCCTTTCCATCTGCTGAAGGAGGGAGGGGCTGACCCGCCCCGACACATGGAAGCAGAACCCAGGATGCATGCTAGGAGGTGGCAGGCCATCTTCCCTCTGGTCCCTGTGAGCACCTCCCATGGGGGGACCTACAGATGCTATGGTTCTTCCACCATCTACCCCAACGTGTGGTCACAGCCCAGTGACCCTCTGCACATCAAGGTCACAGGTGAGGGAAGATGCCGGGGCATCCCCATCTCTTTCCTGGGCCCAAAGTGAGGGTGCTATGTGTCCATTGGGGCCCTGAGCTCATGGGGGACAGTAACACTGGCCTCTTGAGGACAGACCCACAGGCAGGAGGCTCAGGGAGGGACATGTGAGACCTCTCACTGCAGCCCAGTGGGCGATGTGGGGTGTCCCCTGGTGCCACTATCCCCTCCTCTCAGGTGTGCACAGCGAGGCGGCCCTCTCAGCCCAGCCAGGCTCGCTGTGCTGCCTGGACACAGCCTGACCCTCCAGTGCCACGTGGAGGCCGGTTTTGTCAGATTTGCTCTGACCAAGGACGAGGGGCTCACACACCCCCAGTGCCTCTTCTGTTTCATTAGGGTTTGCTAGGAATGCTCTCTTTTCCTGACAAATGCACATCCCCCCATAATTATCTTTTCTCTGACTTTTAACCACATGACACACATTACAAAGGCTTCTTTGTGTCACCCATTTGGATATTAACCCAACTGACTCAAGCTGATCATCCACATTTTCTGAATTGTCGAGCTGACATTTAGAGTTATTGCATGGATCCCTGTAATGAGGAGAGGTCATTATTTTTGTTTATATCTCAGGTTTTATAGCAAATAGGGTAACAGATTGACAAGATTTCCTACTTTGGGTGCTCACTCAATAATGAAATTAGGGGGAGTTTCTCTGTGACTTAAAGTTTGAGCCAGAAGAGTGCACTTCCTTGGCTATAACCTTCCTTGTACTTTGAGATTTAAAAAAACTCACACCATTAGCATCCATATACCCACAATTTTCATCTGGTAAATATATTTGCCACTGTAGGTAACCATTTGGATAATTGTATAATAAATGAGCTAAACCCTAGCTGGTTTGGCTCAGTGGATAGACCAGCCTATGGACTGAAGGGTCCCAGGTTTGATTTTGGCCAAGGACAAATGCCCGGGTTGCAGGCTCAGTCCACAGTAAGGGGTGTGCAAGAGGCAGCCAATCAATGATTCTCTCTCAGTTTTGATGTTTCTATCTATCTCTTCCTCTCCCTTTCTCTCTGAAATCAATAAAAATATATTTCATAAATAAATGAGTTAATAGAAGAATCAATAAGTGAACAACTCCAGGTGAGGATGAAAATGGGGACCTCAGAGTGGAGGGGCCTGGGCGGGGTGGGGTGAAGGAGACCCAGCCCAGACTTTCACCCCTTCATGCTCCTGTGATTCAGGAGCCCCTGACACCACACCCTCCTCCATGGACCCTGAGTCCCCAGCTGTTGAGAACGTGGGATCTCTCAACTGTAAGGGAATAAGCTCATGGGGTCTTGAGTCTCAGGCTGAACACAGAACACACAGCTCTTAGTTATTTCTGAATTGTGATCATATCTTCTCTCACCCTCAGTTCTTGGGCACAGCTCTTACACGGTGACTCAGAGCAGGTGCTGAGTTCAGACATCACTGGGATGCTGATGTGAAGGGGAGGTGGGAGCCCAGGGAAGACACCAGAATGCCAGAGGTTTGGGTCTGCCCTGACCTCTGAGACTTCTTAACCCACAATTCTTACTTTCCCATCCCCAAGACTACACAGTGGAGAATCTCATCCGGATGGGCGTGGCTGGCTTGGTCCTGGTGGTCCTCGGGGTGCTGCTGTTTCAGGCTCGAAATGACACCAGAGGGACCCTCAATGCAGCCAGGATGTGAACACAGAGGCAACAATGCACCGTTCAGAGTGGGGGAGCCTTGGAGCCCATCTGATGAGCCCAGGGGGTGCTGAAAGAGAATGTGGACCATAATTGGGCAAACTGTCTTCTGAGAACGTGCAGGGGAGAAGACGAGGGTCCAGGAGAACGTGGGCCATGTCTCTGTAGTGGACGCCCCCTCCATCCACCTGGGTGCTCTCCCTCCCTCCCTGTCCTCGTTGACTCTCCCTCATTGCCCTTCTGTTCTCACCCTGTGTGTGAGGGTCCATCCCACCTGGCTGGTTTGGATTCACATCTATAT